AGAAGCAGACAAACAAAGGAAAGAGTCAATTATGTGTTATCGAAAATGTATTAAACCTTGTAGACCTCACGACGACGGTGATTGCTTCGAAAGTTGCAGATTCAGATGCGATAGCCCCATCCCTGACCATCCTAATTCCCCACGGTACTAGCTCTATTTAGTTTTTCTCCTTACTCTCATACTTTCTACTTATATAATTTATGTTCTGATCATTCCTTATATATGATAGTATGAGTTTTTTTTTTTTTGGTCACTAATATGAGTATTGTTCTAATTATATATTCATGCATGCTTAGAGTCTCACGTGGGATGCCATCTATGGAAGCTCGGGGAAGAAGAGATTGATTGAAAAACAAAAATTCATAGAAGATTTGTAATCATGTCTACCGTTTTTAACTTTATGTTTATGTTAAAAAGAATCAAATAAAAAAGGGCGTATTGATAATAAAAAATAAAAGAGTTTATGTTCTCTATATTACGGTTATATTAATATAAGTAAAAAAAAAAAACAAGTATGTAAGCATAAGCTTTAACAAAAAAACAAAGTACGTAAACATAAGAGAGGAAACTAAAAACATTACATTATAATGCAAACAGACTAAAGAAACAATTGGTTGTAACGGCTTTGATATGATTGTAGCTAATAGAAATTCAAGTTTTATCGGAAGGACTGGTCGACAAATTTCTACCCAACGTTATGTTATGTTGCGTTTTACACGTTAAAGTTCTAGTAAATGTTACCAATGGTATAAACATGAATGTATGAGAGCTATTGTCAATATGTATAATAAACTCGTTCAGTTTTTGCATTTCGAAAATATTTGTCGTCAAAATTGGATTATGGGGTCCTGACATCAATTTGCAATTCTGACACTAAAATTATGATTAGCAATGTTGCATTTCCGGGATAAAATCCTAATTTCAACATTGTGGAACCAAATAGTAATTCTAAGATTGTGATTTTTCAAAAAACATGTAGACACAAAATCATGATTTTAGCATTTTTTACCAAAAAAAATATGTCATTACGATTAACAGCATCCAAACTCACCATTAGCATCATAAAATATGAAATTTTGATTTCTTAAAGATTTTGGATGCAATTTCTATTTTCTCCATCCAAATTCACCATTAGCAGCATCCAAAATTTCTAAACAAGTTTATGAAAATGAGTTTGTACTCAAATTATCATAGAAATATTCGTTTGGGCATCTCGTACATACATCCACACATCCTCTCTGTGTTGGGTGATGTAAAATACATTTTAATGTCTCTTATATTTTCGACATTATTAATCACTCACAGTTTCAAAGCTTCAAGTGACTCAGTTTCTGTCTCTGTCTTCTTGGCATGACGTGCACAGAAACCCTTTAGTCTCTCAAGTGCATCCTCAAGCATATGTGCTTCCACTCCAATGGTTATCCTCATCCAGTTCTTCAATCCCAGAGCCTCTCCTGCAAAACATCCCACGCATATGAACCCATTTTATCATCAAAACTCTAATCAAGATTCGTGTTTCTTGCTTGGTTTCATATACTTTACCTGGCAACAACACGAGGTTTTCTTCTCTGGCCAACTTCACGCAGAAATCAATGTCGTCTTTGATGTTCTCCAACAATGACAGCTCCAGTTTTGTCTGCAATAAGTCAAAATTCTTAAAACGGATAAAGAAATCAGAGATGTCAACTCTCAACGACGAGTTTCACAATGTTTTCCTGTTCATCAGATTGAAAGACTAGTAACGATTTGAAAATTGATCAAGAATCACCAATCTAACGAAAACCAATCGTAACTACATTTGGGGGATGTGTCTGGTTTATAGAAGTTTTACCAATAAGTAAGTGCAAGACTCTGGTTTCTTGGGACAGACGACGCAGGGGATGTCCTTGAGCCTATCACACACCAAATCGACATTATGTTTGAGTATCTTGTTCTTCTTTGCAAAGAACTTCTTATCTGCTTTCTCCAGGATCTCGGGAAGTGCAACCTATCAAAGGAACATAGTCTAAGTGTCATGAATCCAAAGACTAGTTTATTATGTAAAGAACCAAAACACATTTCACAAACCTGAATTATAGTGGAAGGGTCCGGAGTTATGTCAAGATTCTGTTTGATGGATTGAGTAACCTGTCAGAAACAGAGAGTAAACAAACATACAGTGAGATTACTTGTTACAAAACATCGAGAGGATCGATAAAGCTAGTAGCAGTAAACAGACCTTGGTGTACTCGAAAACGCCCTCGGGATCATTCAAGGCGATCCAACCAAGTTTCCATCCAGGAACAACCCATCCCTTAGATATTCCTCCTAGCGTCAACACAGGAACAATCGATGCAAACTTCCCCATTGGAACAAAGGGATTGTCTCCAAATATAGTTCGGTCATACACTTCGTCTGTAATCACCATTATCCCCAGCTTCCTAGCCGTCTCTGCAACCTAAAATATTCACCAATCAATCAAAAGTTTCAACCTTTAGCAACCTAAAATGTTCACCAATCAATAAAAAGGTTCAAGCTTTAGCAAGTTCCAAATCAAAAACGGCTAAAAAGTTTCAAGCTTAGCAAGTTCCAAATCAGAAAGGACTCAAAGTGTCAAGCTTTAGCTGAGTTATGAACCAGACCTTCTTGAGATGGTCGTGAGAATAGACATTTCCACAGGGGTTATTAGGGTTAATGACAACAATTGCGACAGTGTTCTCATCTGCAATGGATTCGACGCCTTCGAGATCAATCTCCCATTCTCTGTCGGGAAGAAGATCGAACTTACGGATCTCTAGACCACTGTAAACAGCACGAGCGTCGTAGTGAGGGAAACCAGGTCGTGGGAGCAAAATATTTGCGCTTGGTCGAGCCAAAGATTCGAACACGATCTCTATCCCTTGGTTGCATCCAGCGGTCAGGAAAATGTCGTCCGGTGATAACTTGTTCGGGAGATCTCCGTTTAGATAATCTGCGACGGCTCTGTTCACAAACCAAACACCGACAAAATCAACAAAAAGTTGTGGATCGATCTGTTACATTATAAAAGTTATGGGTATCTTTATAAGAATCCTTAAAATACAGGGTCTAAAAGACAATTTTATGAGTGGGTGAAAAAAGTTTGAAATCGGATAAAAATTGACTCAAGACGACTCCGATTATTTTATATTACCGTCTCGCCGGAGGAATACCAGCTCCGGGACCGTAAGAGTTGCCTTTTCCGGAGCGGAGGACGTCGACGACGGCGTCTTCGGCCTCGATGCAGGTACGGAAACAAGAGTAGACTGAAGGGTCACCGTGGCCGAGGGGTAAAACGGTCTTTTTGACATCTTTGCTGCAGTTATCGAAGAGCATGAAGATGACGCCTCTAAGCGTTACGGTGGATGCTTCCGCGGCTTTCTCGCTTCCACCAAAACGCCAAACGCTTCTACCGTTACCATTCTGTGTTTGCGTTTTGGGCTCTTTCTCGGTTCGAAACGTGGGAACCACAAGATTGGCGTGAGGTTGTTGCTCTTCGCTCATCTTTCTCTTATTTGTGTGTGTTATTGTTTTGCTCGTTGCTTCTGAGTTTTCTTCTGTAATTGAATAATTTCAGTTAAAAATTTCAAAGATCGATTAAATAAATCAAAAGTTTGAATTGTGGAACGTGAAAATGATATAATCTTGGTGACACCTAACACCGTAACACCCACGTGCCAAAATCATAACCCAATCGTATAGACTTCGTAAAGAATTTGTTATTGGGCCTGGCCTAATAAAAATACTTGTCAAGTTAAACCGAATCGACGAGTTAACCGGGAAATGATAGTTATACGGTTTAGTTCAATTTTAAATATTGTGGTTTATTAATTTGGTTATATTATTGACAATTGGTTCTTTTTGATTCATATGGGTAGGGATTTTCCGATTTAGGACAAGTTTAGAGAAACTAACTCAAATTTTAATTTCCTCTAAACTGAATTTTCAGGCACTCAATAATATATCAATTTGGTTTTATCAAATAAAAAGGTATTGATTTACTTTGTTCATATCCTTTGTTCCGCACATTTTGCTTTGAGCCTCATCAAAGAGCTTCAAACTTCAAAAATCTTTAATTTGAACAAAAAATTTCGATAGAATACAACATAAACTATACTTTAACTAATAATTGCTTGAAACAACGATAAACCGCTAATATTTGAATTGCTTTAAACACAAAACATTATTATAATGATAAATGAGATATTTTGTGAAAAGGCTTAATGGTGTGATATTTTTGCTTTGTTGAGATTTTTATTTTTTAGAATGTTTAGCTTCTAAGGTTAATTTGATTTCGATGTTTTTGTAGTTTTTTTTTGTTTGTTTATTATATTGTAAAAAAAAAAATGATCATTGTACTTCTTGCACGGATTAAGTTAATGTAAAATCTATCATATTTGAATATTTTTTATGCATATTGTGGACCTTACATATTGAATTAAGAATTAGTTAGTATTCAAGAGGAATGGGTCATAAGAGCATCATTATTGGTGATTCATTTTGGGTATCAATAAGATTATTTTAATATTAAATTTATTAGTTTTTTAATCATTGATACTCATTAATAATTTTTTAATTTTTGTAGGTTCAATAGTGATACTCATTAAGGATTCTATAGAATTAAAAAAAATATTTTTTATATATAAAAAAAGAAATAAAATGAAATTAGTATATATAAATATATAACATTCTACAAAAACACTAATTTATTAAGTTTCATAAAATTGTAAACATATATTATAATACGTAAAAACATCCAAAGGGTTTGTGAAGAGCATGGTTCACATTTTTCTTTACCTCTAGGCGGAAGTATTTCTTAACACGGCTCTCGGTATTACCAACAACACCAACCGATTCAATCTCCACAATACTCTTCTTCTGAGTGGTAAAACGGTGAGCCGCTCCCTGAGTTGCCAACTAGGACTCTGCTTCCACGTACTTTGTTTTGTTACCTTGAAACCCCTATTCATATGTACACGAAACGTCAACTTCCCTAAATCATTGGCCGATGAGGCTCTAATTTCACAACATCAAAAAGTATAATAGCAAATGCCAGCATAGAACATGTCCTTAGCATACCAAAAGTCGAACCAAAAATCAGTTTTTGAGACTAGTTTTGTTAGAAATACAAACCAACGATATACTCACCAGTTCAAAAATATTGACAAAGAGGGTACTCCAGAAATCAAAGCTTCCCTTGCTCCAGCAATAGCACCTGAATAGAACCTGGAGGATTCTTGAATCATGACACATAGAGCAAAAAGACAGACAAGGAACAACCAGTTATATACTAGACAAAAGCATTTACATTTGATGCCCACAGCTTGATCCCTGATTAATTCCACTAATCACCTGAAGAGAATAAGCAGGATAATGATGCAGAAATTCTAAAACCCCTAAATATCATATATCAAATGATGAAATGACCATATGCTAACCAGAATTGGTTTTGACCAAGCAAAGAGCGCCCCGGATAATCCTAATGAGATGCAGTCCACAGGAGTTCCTGAGGCAAAAGTATAATCTTAAAGCCTATGAACAAAAATAGCACTCACACCATAGTGTAATTGGGTATACAACCAGCAAAGATGTATCCTTGCAAAATTATACCGCACTTCTTGGTGTTTTAGTCATGGTGTTACAGAGTTTGTTAAAATCCTTGTCCTCCAAATCGAGCATGGAGAGACCGATTCGTCCTCACTGTGCTTCATTCCAACAATCGTCGAGATTCATATCCCCACATAGGGGAGGATCAAAGTTTTCTAGATTCTCAAATCCTGTAATCTACTCTCGGTGGAAGAGTCAAATTCCACCTTCTTCTATCTCTTTGAGATTGGTCATATCTTCTTCCCTCTTTTGGAGAGTGGTCGAATCCCCGAGCATTATGCCGGATTCTTCAAAGTCACAATGGAAAGTGACTACCCGAGACTTTCCGGCATTGCCGCGAAGACCCTCTTGACGCATCCGAGATATGTCTTGGATCCGCTATCCATCTTCTACGATGATATATATGCTTTATGTTTTATTGCATTTCAATTATATTGTATTAATGGTGGAGGATTCTTAATTCCATCATGTTGTACTCTGGTCGTTTAATTTAATGAAAAGCTTGTTGACAAAAAAAAAAAGAGTCTTTCAGTTTCAGATATATTTTGTATTGTATATCTGTGGCTCCGGATGATTTGATTTGCATAAAAAAAGGTCCAAAGTAAAACCAAACTGATAGTAAACACAATTTTAGATCTTGCTTTGGTCGGTGTCCAAAGCTCATCTCCGGCAATGTGTCTCTTTCATTTTGGCTTTTGTGTAGTACTTTGTTGTTTTTCTGCTTCCCCCTTGGATTTCGTTATGTTTGGAACCAATATTCTCAGCCAGCGTGAGGTTTTTGTGGTGGATAGAGAGGTCGAGATATGTGGTCGTGGCTTCATAGGTCAGATGGTGGATTTGGAGGTTTATTCGTCCGGATTGTTCGATTTGTCGAGTTTGCTGGCGTTCGTGCTTTGTCCCCAAATCTGGTTCCTTCTGGATCGAGATTGGCTAAGCATCTCGTCTCAGATATGTTGTCAGTGGCTTTTTGTTGTTGGTAATGTCTTCGCCTTCCCTTCCGATGGTAGTTATGGTTGTGGGGGCTTTTACTTCCTTTTGTTAAAGGCTATCGTTCCCTCTCTTGAGGCTTAGTTTCTCTTTGATAGAGCTTTTGGCTAGGGTTTCTATCCCTCTTAGTGTTTATTAGATTGCTTTATGTTTAGGTCTTAGATGCTTCTGGATTGATATATGGTTTGAGATTTGCAGTTCAGTTTTGAAGGCCATCACTGAAGGGACTTATTATTTTCTTGAGACTTTTTGTCGTATTTTCGTCGAAAGTGTTTGAAGCCTGTCTTCTGTGATATTGTGCAGGAATGCCTTTTGTTCAATCGGTTCTAGACTCGGTGCAAGATAACCAGCGTGTCGTCAGAGAAGGTCGTCTTCATTTCTATGTTGTTGCGGTTATGGCATTTGATATCTCTTTGTGATTTGATATGGTCTCTTATTTATGATGTAATTTCAGTTCAAATTCAGTAAAAACCTTCCAGTAAAAACAAAATAAAAAAAAATCTTATTCAMAATAGCACACTAAAAGTGTACAACCTAGTCTCCTCGTACCAACATCTCACCAGATCCAAACTTAAACTATCAGATAGATTTTATGCGCAACCATCATCTGCACCTGATGTCACGTCGCTGTACATGTGGACTTTAAACTATTTAACTTTGACTTCTTCTTTTTTTGGGTTAGATTAGTTTAGTCAATTTTGTTTGTTAATAGTTAATACTTACATATATCTCTTTATATATATGTTTAGTATAGATTAATACTTTGATTGTTTAGTAAATTAAATAGTTTTCAGATTTTTTTTTACGATTTCTTTATGATGCATCATGCATGTGTGAGTATTTCACATTGAGAATACTATAGGCTCAAATCAAATAATCATTAGCTATTTTAAAGTCCACTGAGCGAGCTTTGGATGAATTCCCCTTGCAGTGGATAGTAATCCACTCAGCTTTGGAATTAAAACTTTGGCATATTTGGTTTTACTAAAGTCACTTTTTTTTTAGCTTTCACTTATTTATTCCCTTTGCTAGTTGTTGTTTCTTCTTTATTCGACTCTACTTTACTTTTGAGTGAATTTGGTGAGTGGCTTGATGATTTAATAAAGAAAATAGCAAAGAGAATATAAGGTAGGGGAAACAATAAAAGGGTACCGGATTAAATGCATGTGCATTTACAACGGGACGCGTTTTTGTGTTGTGCGCGTGGGATTGAGACAAAGCGGTAATGGAATCACAGCATGACGAGTGAAAGCGTAGATATAAATTTTTGGGAGATGTCCCCTCGTGATCATTACCTCAATGACCGTGGTGCAAGAAATTACAAATAAAAATAACACGTTACATTAAAAAGTAGCAGTACATATACATTCCTTAGGCCGCTACATTACATCTTAACATTCCAAATGCAAACATCGCAAACTATGATCTACCTTAAATTTCTTCTTCGTACTACACCGTATAACTTAGAC